TGAAATACCTATTCTCAATTAACTGTCCGAACAGTACTACGATACTGTAACAGTACTACGATACTGTAACAGTACTGTTCGGACGTAACAATTTTGTTCGCAGTTCGCAGTTTGAATAAACGGTTGGTATGTATGAGCACAATACGCAAACAAAATTTGAATTTATTTCAACTCCGCCTTACTAGGACTGGAGGACCTTAGCGCGACTACAGGAAGTTATACGCAGATACGTGAGATCATGTTATTCTTTTTCCAACGATATTTGCCTGCATACATACAATAACCTTTACACTAAGGCACGATATGTCCTGTGAGCAACTTCTACTCTCATTACCAGCCGCAAAGATCAGGCTCAATCTCTATTCCATATCGTAAGTTCTTATCTATGATTTGGACGCATTTTGGTCTTCTATAATATCAGTGCAGCCGCGTACAAGTCCTGAGCTGTTGCGTTTATACGAAGAATACATGCAGAAGTCTTAATAATGTGGTGAGGCAGCAAATTCATTTCGTTTTGAGTTTAAGATTGGGGCAGTTGCAGCCTTTGCGTATAATCCGATATCGAATTCGTTTCTTTTGAGAAGTCGTGCATAAAAATATTGGTTAAATGGCTATAATTTACTTCTTCTTCTTCTTGAGTTCCCTGTGAAGATTCAGATGGTTTGCTAAAAGTATTATTTGGATTTTAGAATTGCTAAACGTACCGCTGGTGCTTCTTACCTCTTCGTATGCTTCTTTAAATGTCTGGTTAAAGCAGAAGACTGATTAAATTTTCAAGGACATAAAGCACATTAGTATTTCGATAGTATGAGTTCTGCAAAGTAAAGTGTAAAAGCATATCCATATGTAAAGAACATGTGAATGTATGTTTAAATACTTTCTTAATACCCTAATTAAGACTACATAACCAGAGTCAACTTAAACGGAGCGAAAAATTTTACCTCAAATTTAATTTCTTTGCTTCTGTCTGGTTCTGTTAGAATATCATCTAAATTGGTTCATTGGCCCTGATACATTTACTTTCCCCTTCGATTACCAAGCAAATAAACTATGTTATATCAAATAATAACTTTTCTTTCTTTGCTTGGAAACAAAATGACGAAAAAGAGAACATAAGCTTTGTTTTCCCACTTAACGTAAAAATCCCCGGACAGCAGAACTTATAAGATAGCTACCTACGGCTAGTAATTTTCTAGCATATCACGAAGAAAGTTTTTCGTTTTCAGCAATAATATACGTCCAGGCGAAAATCTGCCATCTTTGTTTCCTTTGCCACCATTAAAAAGAATAACAATTTCTTTTATATATATATATGTATAAATATTAATAAAGTTTTTTAAATGTATAATAAAGCTATTTATTTTATTTATATTTAAATATAAATTATATAAATTAATATACAACAGGAAGGAGTTCGATTTTCCCAATGACAGATCGGTTGAGAAAGTGTTTGTTGCCATAAGCTCCAACTAGACGATGGGTTATATAAAGTAGTATTTATTTCTTTGAACTAGTACGAGTACGCCTTACGCCGCCACTTCTCTTGTGGGTTTGCCATTAACACTCGGGATCTTTTTCCATTTCCTGAAGGGGCAATTTCCTATTGATGCATGGTGTACTTGTTTCCACAGCACTTTGAACAAACTCCCCTAATTCTGGTGTTGTAGTCTCGGTTTGTAATAAATTTCTATTGGAATGCGTTTGGTAATCATAAATAGTAAAGATCAAAGCAAAACTCAGAAATCCTTTATACCATATAAAAATAAATTTGAGAACAAGTTGAAGAACATGTTATAACATCAATAGAAGATCAAAACAAAACTCAGAAATCCTTTATAGCAAATAAAAATAAATTTGATTTATAATTTTAAAAATTATTACTTTTTATTGTAATTTTGAAAAAAATTTAGACGTAATAATGTTTATGTATTACGATGGGTTGGGTGCGAGGCACCCCACCGCGCCGCCCATCTCTCCTGCGTCTACGCCTAGGGCGCGTGGGCGATTCTCGACGCCGCAAGTCACCATAATTTCTTGGTGGGCGGCGCCCGGCTCTCCCGTTCCCCTGTGGACGGCTTAAGCGTTGCCGCAAGTCACCATCTGCGTCCACATCTTCTGCGCCTACGCCTAGGCCGCGTGAGCGTTTCTCGGCGCCCTCATTCCTTGGCGGGAAGATCTGCGTCTTCACTGCGGCATGAACGCCGCCATTCGTTCCGAGTTTTCTAGGCTAAAAAAAAAATAAAATTTATCTTAATAATATTAAAATTAATTTTAAAAAATTGCAAAAATACCTCTGGACACGTCTTATGCTGTCATTTTTTTTTTTTTGGAAGTGACATTTTACGCACGTTTTCAGCGCTGTAAAAAAAATGAAATTCATTATTCAATTATCGCGGGATTGCTAAAATTTTTGTGGGGTATTATTGGGAATCGATTTGGTGGTTTTGTATTAGAATGTTGGATGTTCCGCAGATTGCCCATTTCTAAATTACGCCGTACTGGCGCAACTGATATACGATTTCTAATTTTCGGGTATTATTCAAATGTTATCATTCGTTTAAAAAAAAGGAAAAACAAAATTGAAATCCTTGAGTGCGAATCTGTGCGTTCGAAAAATTAGATAATCCAAATCCTTAAATACGAATCTATGCGTGCAAAAAATTAGATAATTCAAAAAAAGATCCAAGTGAAGTTACACCAGAAAATCCAAATAAGAAAATCCAAGTGAGATTAAACTATTGCTAATCATAATTTCAAGCATTCATATTATCAATTAAATATTTACAGTCCATTAATCGGAATAAAACTAGTCAAAAAAATCCGCTCAACAGAACCTCTATACATCGAAATAAAACTAGTCAAAAAAAACCACTCAACAGAACTCTTGCGGTAAGTCAATTTTAAGTTTTATCGCATAGAAGAAGCAATCTATGTTATCTATTGACATGTTGTAGCGCATTTCCCTTCAATGTCAAGGTCGACTGTGCCAATTGCTCTTTGGAAGCGTTTTTTATACCCTACACCACTTGCGGTACCGGGTATATTAAACTTAGATGTTGCTCATGTCTTTGTTCCGCTTCTCGATATATTAAGCTAGATACAACTAAAAATCCGAACATATATTTTTCAGACAAGCTTACAATACAACAAACCGAAAGACAAATTTAGAATATAACCCCTATCCTTCGGTGATGAATACAATGATGTCATTTATATAAAGAGAAAGAACCATTGAACTTTTTGTAAAACTTTCTAGAGTAAGTGCAAACGACGCAGGTGGGGCGAGGTCCTGAGTGACCGGTCGGATTAACGGTTAATCGGCATATAGTTTGGGGTGCGTTGGATAACCGAAGGGCATTGTCACACATTGGTATAGTGGACTGGTAGGCACTGTAAAAGCTGTCTTCTCTTTTGACCTTTCATGTAACAGTATGGTCCAAAAGCCATCTTTTAAATCAAGGCTGGTAATGTATTTGGTCAATATTCCATCGTTCAACGGTAGAGGATAACCGGACCTGGATTGATTACTAAAGTCAGCGGTGGATTAAAGCTCCTGAAAAACAAAAAGGATAGGGCATACAAGAAAAACATAAAATATGGCTTGGCATTATTCATTATATGCAATAGCGCGACAAAGATTTAACCACAATAGACAAACTTTCCCTAAGGATGCAATCCTCATTTACATCGTACCCAAAATATTTTCACAAATTTCTAAACTCAAAAGGGCGAGTCCTTGCATTTCCTCTCATTTAAAGGTCGAGACAAGAAATTTCGCAACTTTGCGCAAAATTCCCCCAATGTAATTATTACACGATAGTAAAGATCTTATGACAATGTATCAATAAAAAGACATGGTTATTATTCCAAAAATTCTTATCTCCAGTGATAAAGCTCATGATGAAAATCTTTGAAAATGAGCTGTGAAATTTGTTTGGCAATAGTGAGAATCTTTAACCTCTCCTGAGAAAAGGTAGCGTTTTCATCATGATGGAAATAGAAAGATTGTAGGGAACTACAGAGGCATTGCGAAATTAGGCGTACTACCAAATAGTCTAACCTAATTGTTACTCCGTATATAAAATCCTACATCACTCCGCTTTAAAATGCACATCAGCAAGATATATCTTCTGTTACAAACTTGAGTTCACTGATCACATTGGAATATTTTTTTTTACAGGCGTTATAACTGCTGTGTACCTTTAATACTTTGTTTCAACTGAAAATACATGTGTGGTAGCATAGCGGTATAATGCGATAAAGGCTTTCAGACGCGAAGTTTTGCCGAGCTGACTTAGAATCATATTCATTTTTGTAAAGATCCTTTTATAATTTTAACTGATATATAAAAGGAGAAATAAAGTTTAAGAAAACTAACAAATTTTTCGTAAATCGTATGATTTAATTTAATGTAATGCTCAGTGAACTATTTGCTAATTTTTACAATGAGTGGTATTTAAAACTCTAGTTGATTCCTTGTATGAACTTTGACAAGAAGTCGGTTGGTTTAGGATCTTGCGATTCCTTCCAATAACGCATTATATGCCCCTTTTGCTTCCAAATTTCGACGGATTCTTTCAGTTCCATTTGACCCTGGAAATATATTAAGAAATAATAAACTTTTGAATTTTGAATCTTCTTATTAAGTAAGGTGAAAAACTGTAGTGCACAAACATAGGAATGATGAAAGTTCATTACCCACAAATTTGATAATTGGATCATTTCAATACAAGAATATATATCTAGATATCTCAACAGAAGCCAAGAAGTGGAAGTGAAATTGGAAGAAATTTACAAACGATGGTCGGCTGCAGAAAAATTGTTTAAAAAATTCTACAGAGTCAAAGCACATAAATTTTATAACAGGTATGTATAATACTGTCAGTACGTCAAGTACCGCTTCCATGGTAGTGTTTAAAACCGGTTAGAAACGGATGCTGGAATCTGGAATAAGATAGCCGAAATGAAAAGGCACACAAGAATGAGTAAATAAATTAAAAATTTCAGAAGTAAGATTTTTCAGAAAGTTTCCTCTTTGACATTTCCTGAATTCGTCTTTTTAGGCGATATGCTAACGTAGCGAAAGTACTACATTCTAGTTTCGGATAAAGGATACATGTCTAATTATTATAATTCGAATTTCAGGCTCTTTGGAAATACCGTCTCTATTTAGTTACCTTTATGACCAACATGTCGATTACTCGAATATCTGTAACATTTTGATGTCTGAGGAATTCTTCGCGTAGTTTCGCACGGCATTGCTCTATTGACTTAGGAATATCGTAATCCATGACTGAAAGAAAAACATTTAAACCATTTTCTTTAATCCAAAGATAATTGTGACATAACATTTCTACTTACCAATGTAAGGAATTTGACGATACCAAGCCTTATAAAGATTCAAAGCTCGCTTCCTTGCCTCTCCGTGATTTACGGATAATATAGGGCGAACCTGTTGTACAGCTTTCTTCACAGCTTCTCGGCTTGCAGCCATTAATGCTAAATTGGTTGTTATATATTTTTTTAATTTGCCTACGAATTTAAGTCATCAAAGAAAAAATAAACTAAAGATAGTTTGCGTGACTGCAGGGCTGCCACCTCCCCAGGAATTCAATTACCCTGCGTTTTAAAATTGGTTTAAAACCTAGAAATTTTCGAATATTGTCTAATTATTATATTTATTAAGTTGCGATTTTATGGCTTTATACTACGACTAATAACGAGCAACGCTTTTAATAAAACATCAACAAAAGTTGAACACATAGCCCCCATTGCAAGAAAAGTGTATAGTTCAAAAAACTTACCGTCTAATTATATAAATGTTAATTGAACAATTAATTAAATAAACTGAAATAAACCATAAAAACGTTAAAGCGGAAAACCCCTTTGAAATATTATTTTTGTTAAGCAAAAGATAATTTATTATTCCTCCTAAATTCACATAGTTAATATAATATATACAATTAATTGGGGATTTTTAATGCCTTGGTTTATAAGAAACATGTAAGCGGCAAGATAGGATGAAGAGCAAAAACTAAATTTTAACAAGAATGGCGGTCGTAAAGAACAAACTTGGCATGCCTGAAGTATTGGTATGACTGATGGGAGACGAACAAGAGAGGTGTGTTCAGAAAAAGAGTTAAGTGAAGTATATGCTCTTACAAGGTGTGTCAACAATTTACAAATGTTTTGTAGTAGAAGAACTCATAATTATGTCGGTACTTTTTTTTTTACAAATATATTTAAATTTCGCGTGGTATTTGTCGATAAAACTTTAGCGCAAACCAACGAGTTTAGACGTAAAAAGATAATTATATCTAAATAAATACGGAACTAAGAGGAAGAAAAATTGTGGAGTAAGCTGAACGCTGTCGATTAAAACTGGATATACTGATTATAAAGAAATCGTTCTGAGATCTTGTGAAATTTTCTTGTTGAAAAAGATTCACCAAAAACACACTTTTTTTTGGCAAATTTGCAAATTTTGTTTTTTTTAAGGAAAAGAACTGCAAAGGAAAAAAACATTGCAGTATATTCTGACCCATCATGGCGTTTTATTAATTTCTTTCATTTCATTAATTAAGAAAATTATTTTATAAGCGCGGTTAAAACCGAGAAGTTTTCACAAAAGAAAATTACCAGATTTTATACGGACGGTCGGAGAAGCGGTCCCATCAAACCATTTTCAATAGCGTTCGTGTGTGGGTTCGGTCAGTGTACCAAATTTTGTCAAAATGTCTTGAAAATTGAGGCTTGTGGGTGGAACACAAGACTACATGGACAGCGAGATGTATAGATGTATAACCAAACTTAAATCTATTCGAAAAATGATTTTGAATAGATGGGTATAAAACAAGTTGAGTCTATCTGAAATCCCATATCCATTTCTTTTCGTTTCGCTGCAAGAAAAATTAAAAAGATATAAAATATCATTTGGGCTTTTGAAGAAAACTTTAGAGTCTTAACAATTGTAGACTGGGGTAATTGCTGATGCCATGGAGATATAGAGGCTAGCGCATATATTTAGTCGTTAATAAAAGGAGTTTCAAACATTGTTTTAAGGAATGGTATTGTCTATGTGCATATCTTTCTTATTGATATCCTACAATAAATTATTGTCTTCAAAATTTCGCAGATTTTGAAAAAATTCGTCGCGCCGGTGAGTTTTTTTTCGAATAATTTCATTCTTCGCCATTAAGTAAATGCTAACCAATTCCTATTTGGTGACGTCTTTCCGTTTTGTTTCTGTTTTATGTCTTTTTTTTCGTAGCACGCACGCACAAGCGCCCGCAGGTGTTTCTACTATAGCGTTAATGTGCGGATGTACGTGTTCGTGCTGCTTTCACATTTAATACATCACTATATAAGTTGGTAGGATAATATATTTTGCTACATTTTTTGCAAATGCAAACTCTATATGTTGATTGCAACAAATATGAAAGAAAAAAGGTGACGTGTCTGCAGAAAAAACATAACGAATCAACTTGATGGTAGAGGAACGAGGACCGTGTCTTATTAGTTGAAACGGTGCAAGGGCATATAAAGTTTGTGCGAATGTATGCATCACCGAAGCACAGAAGAACTTCAGGTTTTTATTATGCTCGATCTATTCAGAATCGCTTTTTGCATCGATCTAAACTTATCTGTATGGCTGCCCGCCTGTCCATCTTTTGACAAAATGCGGTACACTTTGTGTAATATTCTTGACCCAAGAGGAAACGTTACTGAAAATGGCTCGGATCCTACCAATCTTTCACCGACTTGTCTTATAAAGTCCTATTTTAAAAAATCGATATATGAAAAACTGTAGGATGGCGAAGTTTATAGACCCATTTTTTTATTATACCGATCGATTCAGAAAGTGATTCTGAATAAAATTGTCCTCTCGTCTGTCCGTTATGTATTCTTGGTTTTGATCCACTTAAGTTCGTGCAATGTATAGAATTTCTTCCTCGCAACTTTGTATATCTAAATTGTCAAGGTTAGACCTATTTGAAGGAAATCTGCCTCTTCATTGGAAAAACTCCAAAAGTTAACTGAAGTGCATGTGGTCTATATCTGATTTAAGAACGGAAATCAAAGGGAAAATTTGTTTTTAAACTTCTTCAAATATCACTTAGAATCTATTACCCTTGTTCTGATCTCAGAAATTGTGAAAAATGCGGCCTTTTAGAATGACTAAACTAACAATGTTCGCTTATTATTGTTCAGAAAGCTCAAGCAAGGAGGATCAAGCTTTCAAACCTTGAATTCTTAAGTTTTCGAACGTTCGAGCATTCGAAGTTACAACCCTTCAAAACTTGGATCTTGAAGTTTTTGAAAGTTCAATCGTTCGAACTTGTTGTGTAAAAATGCCACTGAAGTGAAGAAAATTTAAGTCGATATTGTTGAATATGCGGATAAACAATCCCTTAAGGTGAAAATATGATGAAATATTTATGTATTTGTATATTTATAGTTTCTTAAGCAATCGCATTAAATCGTAGGGTGCTGATGGTTTGTATTTTTTAAAAATGAAGGTAAAATCAAAATAACTAAAACAAACACATTGGGATGTACAATGCGTTTAAAAGGCGAAGTTATATGAGCAAATTTTCTTTAGAAATACAAGTTGAAGGTATTACGATATACACATGTGCAAAAGTATTCTTCGTCTTGGACGGGAATCATCCATACCCATTCGTTTGCTTATCGTAAAAGGAATAATATCTGATGTAGGAATGAAGCCTTACTAAACTTACATTCCCTGTAAGCATTTCTTAAAGTGTGACGTCTCCATGTCAAGGTGCATTGTTCTTAAACTTTAAACGCAGCATTACTAGTTATGGCATCTCTTTTTGTTTTTGTTCTCTTTTGTTTAAGAGGATTTTTTCGCCGCCTATTGAAATAATGTATTTTATACCTTGAACCTACATGGCACTTAAGTATAACATAAAAATCTCGTCCCTGTTATAATTACAATTTTTGATCATTAAAAAAAAAAAGCCGAAAAAATTGCTGGTCGTATTAAGGTTGTGACATCTCAAGCTCCAGCTTGGTAGGCTCAGCCAATAAATGAACATCGACCCCCTTACCCTGAGCCTCCCATGCGAGATATTTCCGCATCAGGATCTAATTTAATAAACAGTTTCTGGCAATGTATATAGGAATAGAAGTTTCGGAGGTTTCTACTAACCATTCTTTAATTTTTCGGCTTTTAATTGCCGCTTAGTTTCTTCCACCTTCTCATATTCTTCTATAATTTCGCGATGTTTGGCGGGATCGTAACTACTCCAACGATCTCTTTTCTCATCATAATCTACGGCTTCATCTTGCACAATATGTTCATCGTGAACGACTAAAGAATTCGCATAGTCTCTCCAAGCAATCCTTACGTTTATGATATTTGCCACTGCATTGCTCTAATAGGTGACAATAAAAAATAATCAAACGAAGGTCTTGTCTTGTACTCTATAAAGACATTTCCCTTTCTTGGCAAATATTGCTTACCGTATTATAGCGTAAAAGGAAAGTATTGTATATTATAATCGCTATACCACCCATTCATTTGTAAATAATTGCATCTGTTTTTCATTCGAATTCGCTATAACACCCATTGATTGCTAAAGGTGCGTAATTGGACGATTTCGATGTCTGTAAATCTATAACAATCGCGATTTATTTTGAATTGTGTGTCATGTTTTTATTATTTATTGCCAATAGATGGCTCAGGGGATTACGTGAAACTGTTGATACTTAACTGGCTCAGTTGAGGTCAAAAACGTTTAGTTCGTCTTAGGGAATTTAGTAATCTTTGATACTGATGATATTCACCATTGTATTATAGCTTCAAATATGTTATTATTTAATAAGCAATTTTTCATAATATGTTTAAAAGGCTGTCAAAATTGAATACGCTGTTAATTGTGTCTTAGTTATTTATTTACTTAACTCAGTGGTGGTGGTTAGTGATTATTAGACTAAATAGTATTAAAATATTAAATTGTCATGAATGATATTGACGTTACTCTTGTCACGTCCGCGCAGGGATAAGCAAATAGTGAATTCTCAGCTCGATATGCATGCATATTAAAGCCGCGTTTATTTGAAGGAATATATTTATAATTAAAAAGACAGGGAAGAAAGAGAAAAACATGTAATAACCTCGAGGTCAAATTGGGAATGATATCGCAGCATATCTTTTTGTTTATTGCAAGATGCCCCATGTTTTCAAGTATCAAAAATATGTACATATATGACCATCAAATAGTTGTTTATAGTTTTATTTTGTAATAAAAACTAAAGGGTAAAAGATGTCAAGATCGATTTTCTTCTACTTTAGACATTAGTTCATGTCATTCTTAAATAGAAATAATTTTTTATACAAATGACCGCGTCTATAAAGACTTTTCAAACAGATTTTCGAAGATTTTTTGTTTCTCTTTATCTTGCAGTTAAATTTTCAATTAGAACAACCGAATGCCGTGATATACATTTGGTATTAAGTGAATGTTGAATTTATGTAACTTTCAGCTCCATTTTTTTCCAAGGCGGCCTTTAGAATTTCAAATATGAAAAGATTAGTCGCTTGAGAGTTTTAGATTTTTCAGCAGACAATATATGATCGTTGTGTAAGAGAATGTATTTGGAAAACATCCCTCGTTTTTTCTGGCGTGAGTGTCTATCATGTATGACAATTTATTTTTACTGTTCCAGTGTGACTTTTCGACTTTTTGTTAAGGTCACTTAAAGGTAGTAGTAATGTATTGTTGTAATAAAAGCTAATACTCAGCCGATGTGTAGTGGAGATAGAAAATGCGTTGCAGTATTTGGGAGGATTCCCTATGAATCTTCCCCAAGTGTAGGTAGTATTTTATCTTTAGAGCCCTAATCTGGTCGGCTGCAGAACGCCAAGTCTATCCGTCTCATGTAGTGCCAAAAGAACTCGGCAAGAGACGGTCCCTAATTAAAGTTACGAGGCGGATAGAACGCCTTTATTAGAACAGTGAGTTGATACGCTTTGATTGAATTGTTTGATAGCAATTAAAATTCTTTATTTGTCAGGTGCATTATTTATACTTAAATTTATAGGTGATTTTATGCTTCGTTATCAATTATTTTAATTAGGGCGCCTGGCATCGTATTGCATTTCGTAATGCAATACCCAGCCAGTTCAAGTGCGACAAAGTTTTTGTTTTACTTTTTTTTTGCTACAGAATTATGCAAAGTCGCACTTCAAAGTGGATGCACGGTATGCGACGGTATGCGATCACACTACAGTATGTTATAGATGGGTTTCCTCCAGTATAAGCCCCGATGTTTTAGTTTTCCTCTCGCACATTGACAAGATAAAACAGGAAAGAAATATAAGAAATTGTTTACAATTCAAAAGGAGGTATGAAAGAAATATACGAGAAACATATAAATTCAAAAGGAAGTGTGGAAGAAATGTAGGAAATTGTTTACAATTCAAAAGGAGGTGTGGAGCAAACGTACGAAAAATACATGAATTCAAAAGGAGGTGTGGAAGAAATATAAGAAATTGTTTACAATTCAAAATGTCAGCAAACATGCCGTCTATAATGATTGAGAATCTCATGTCCATGAAAAATATATGGACCTATTTGCTGTGTTATAAACGAGATGATATATTAAGCTCCTTAAAAATAACTTAATCAATTTATAACACTATGTACTTTTTACTAAGGTCTTTATTTCTCAGATATTGCAAGAAATATGTATATTTATCAACAAAGTCTTCCTTTTCTGAAGCGCAATTTTGTTGAAGTTGAGAGTGGCTTGCATAATTTGCTGCTACATGTTCTTTTCTGCCATTCCCTAACAAATGTATTCGTAATAAATTTATTAATAATAACATAATAATGGTAAAAAAAACTAAATAAACAAAAACTAACTATGATTGGTCATAAACGAACGTACAAGTAGAGAAAATTGATAAAATAAAATAAGGCATGATATCCGTCATTAGTCCTTAATGATAAGTATAGCATTATTCAGCTAACGTCAAACTAAATCTTTTAGGATTTGTCGATAGTGAATGCGTAAATAAATAGTTTAGTCTCTAAACAGTTAACTCTAAATTGAAGAAATTGAACAAATTAAAAGTGAGCATAAAATTAATTTACAGAATGTATTGAAAAGGATACATATCTAAGAATCGTATAGTTTGCTTAGCAATTCTTTCGGGGTCCCTTTAGTTCTTAGAAGCCACACAAAGCGCCGCAGCAACAGTAGCGGCGATGAGGAAATTTAAAATAGCTTACGACGTTCGCAATACAACGCCGAGTTTTATTCACTCCCAAACTGATTATCAACGTGTCTTCATAAGTCGCGAAGCAGCTATCGACTTTAATAATGACGAAAGGTTCACAGTATCTACAAAAGGCGATCGAATTGCATAGCCGTTATATGCAAATATCTAAACAAATTAAATCTCTCATGCTATTTTTTCATAAACTGCATGCATTGAAATTGTTGCGTTTATGTAAATGGACATCAATGTCCATAATTTCACAATATAGCTTCCTTAGAAGCCATTAACTCGCACCGCTAACACACATACTATTTTCAAGCATTCTATCTCGGTAGATGTCTTTCATGAACATCGCTCCCTATCCATTCAAAATATTTCTTGGTTTTTGTAGCATCGCTGTTCAAAGGGTTCAAATAGGGAATTAATATAAAATAAATGAGTTGGATGTATTCACATAAGAATGTCCTCGAGTCGGTATTGGAAGGTTGCATATAGTTACTTCCCTATCCTTTTTCTTAATTTGTCCAATTTGTTTACATTTGTTGAATAATTATTCAAGTATTTGTATAAAAATTTGGCCACATACGAGAATAAGCGAAAAATGTGAGAATAAGCGTATAAAAATTTGGCCACATACGAGAATAAGCGTATATATTCTCAATAATTCGAAAAATTTGAGAATAAGCGTCCATTTGTTTACATTTGTTGAATAATTGTTCAAGTATTTGTATAAAAATTTGGCCACAAATTATTATCTTGGTTAACATGTTAGCCTTTAGTCATATAAAAGGTAAAGCAGCAACTTGATTTAAAAATCGAAGGACTCTATTGGCCAATTCTTCGAGAATTTTATGCAGTTCTAAGAAATAAATGGATTTTATACAAGAGTATCTCCCATCTATTTTGTTCTATGGCATAAAAAGTGGAACAGTAACTCTAGTATTGAAATGTCAAAAATATAAATCCAAAATTCTTTGAAAATATCCCTTCTGAATGAATCCTATGAAATAAGACGATTGAACAGGCATCATATAATGGATTTTCTTTCGAAATTAATTTATTTTTGTTCCTTAAACTATTTTAATAAATTGTCAAAGTTTGTAGAGCTTCTATTTCTTTATTTAAACATCATGTTTGCATTGTTACATTGTTTCCACCGGAAGACAGTAATCTCTGCCATTTTTCTTATCTTTTTATTAGCTTTGCTTATTATCTTTTTGGATAGATCATAAAATGGAAAAGTAATAAATAAAATTTAAAAAAAAAAACTGTAGACGTGCAATTTTGTAAAACCGCGTAAATAATTGACAATAGTATATAATTTTCCTTGTTCTTTTCTAACTGAAATTATGGCGCTGATATATTAACAGCATTTATTGTAAACTTTTAAGAAGTCGAGTTCTGGGACAAGAAAATAACGTTTCCAGGAAAGTTTTTGGTTAATATTTGTTATAATCAATCAATAACTGTCTCTCTGAACAGCGCTTTCATTCTTATGACGATATCTAACAAATAGCTCTTCTCGTGTTTTTCGACACTAAATTTGTACATTGCGCGAAATATGGGTAAAATGATGGCTAGCGAATAATGATGAATAAAATCTATTTTATAATAATTCTAAATTTTAGTGTGAAATGTCGTCAGGTCGCGTGGAAAAAATAATTTATCTTCGAGAAAAAAAAATTAATTCACATCTGAAAAAATGGTGCATAGCACTAACATTGCAAAGCCTTCAGCCTATTATCAAAATAAATGCTAAACACAATTTTTAATTTTTTCTAACCCCATCACATTATATCGAAAAGAAGCATCTTTATTTTTAGAAAATCGATTGAAACTTGAATCTTTGGTAAACTACACCATTTCAGTTTCTTTACCAAGCAGCTAATTATTCAAGCTAAGTTAGAGTTGTTTTGAGACATCTGCAGGCTTAAAGCTTGCCGAAATTTCAGTGGTGTTGCATGTGTTCCTTAGAAAAAACGCACACTTTATGAATTCAAATATCTTTTTCAATGTACTCACGATACCTGACATAAGAGATTATTGAAAACAGAATCGCTGCTAGACTAGCAAGCTGATTGCTTCTTATCACTTATGTGCCACTAATATGGACATTTATTGAGAAAAACTAGTGCAATATATGTTATGCACAATTTACATAAGTTAGTTCCTTTCGCATACCTGCGCGCGCTTTCGGGAAAATTTTAACAATCAACAGGATTCATAAATTAATGTTAATTTTTTTGTCTTCGTTTTGATAGCTTTTCAAGTAAGCGTTATCAAAAGTTAAAAAGCAAAGCAATGGTAAGCGAAAGTAACTTTACTCCCTTTTTACAGCTTCATTCATCTAGAATGAACGATAATAATATTGGCCGTGACTCCCGATTGTTTTACGAACGACCGCAATTGCATTTTTTCAATTACACCTCGGTTTTTAACAAAACCATAGATTGCGAGAATTTCTCAGGCAACCATATTAAGAGCTTCGTTCGAGCGAATCTTATATTTTTGGTTCATTCGAAATATATACCTGAAGATTAGAAATGAATAAATTATACACAGCGAATCTTCACCTGTATGAAGTGATGAGCAAGGAATTGTACTTAATTTTTTTCTGTTGTTTTTGGATATATTGATTTGTAATATGAGCTTGGGTAAAAGCAATTCACCAAGTGGGGCTCTATATAAGGCATAGTGTTCGGTCAATGCTGTTACCCAAGTTCTTGGGCGTTAGGCTACTTTAGACAATTCCTCAATGGCGGGGCTCACTTAATTCGGAAGTAACTGTTAAGATCGGATTTATTTATTAATTTATAAGAGTGTCTAAAACCTATATTGGGAGCCCTTGGATAATGAAAGTTATAATGTATATATGTGTCAAAGATAAGTTTATAACTTTCAAATGACGTTTATTAGGAAAGATGCATCTTCATTTTTGATAACATCAGGAACGATTGGAAAGACTACTTGTGCTAAGTTGTTACTTGAAATACCGTCAGTGCGGTTAAAGAACGATGAGTGGTGGTAGTGTGTCATGCCATACAATGGCATAAAAGTGCAAAATTATATCAATTTAATCATTTATAAATTATGATTAAATTATATATAATTTAATCATTTGTAACTTTGTGTGGACATGGCAGATTGGTTCCATTTATTGTTACTATTAAGCGTATGTATGTATGTATGCTACTGGTGAAAAGTACAATATACAAAGTATATTATAAAAAAGTTAACGCCTTTGGCGGTGAGTAGAAAGAGATTTAATTATGATGTTAAGTTTTTTAATGGGCTTCAGCAGTTTTCAAGACATATCTAATCAGTATACCTGAAAATTGTTTTGGACGTTACATACTTTCAGTGTTTGAACTGTAACTTTGCATTAGAGTTTGTAGCAATAACTTTATTCAATTCCGTTCTTGATTCATTAATAAGTTTGCAAAAAACTTTGTTTCCATTATTTTTTTAGTTAGTCCATGGGAAATAGAAATGCTGTCCATGAAGCGCTTAGAAGGCCCTCTGCGAGTAATACTGTGGCGCCCTTGGGCGGTGTCGACTTACGTACAATATAAGGAACTGACGTGTAGGCTTAGCTCGGAATTAAACCGGCAGTGCACAGAATTGCAAGTAAGTGCTCAATGTCTCTTTTTTTAGTCTAAGAATTCAATTCATTAGTCTAAAATTAAAATAATAATAATAAAGATAGAAATTTTTTCTCTGCCATAGGGGAGACGAATATGAACAAAAGGTAGTCTGCTTTATTGAAATGTTTCATCGAATTACTGCCGCTACACCCAGATACATTGAAAATCTATGTCGACTGTTTTTACAAATTGAAAAGAAACTTATGATAGAGTCTTCGTCGCCATACTACAAGTTTTTCGTTCTCTGTTAAAGGGTCACGCCTTAGATGTTCGCCACGTTGTAAGGCAAGCTCTAGATATTCTAACACTGGCTTTGCCTTTACGTAGGGAGGATGGCAGGACTATGCTTACACACTGGACGAAGAAGATAATTGTTGAAGAGCGTCATTCCATGCAGCAACTTTTCCAAATTTCCTCTTAATCATAGCGGTTTGTTGGCGTTTTTTACTATGTAGTTTGATTTATATCTGTAACGAGGTGTATTTCCCTGTACGTCACCAATTAGTTACCCATTTAGTCAATTATACGCAACGCTTTGGTTTCCTTTCTTTGGTCTCCATCATAAAAACTAGCTATGGATTTAGCTGATGTTATTATCAAATGGGAATTGCAACGTATTAAAGCAGACGAAACTGAAAACAAAATATTATCGGGCAGCATGGAAGACGACGGAGATGACAACACTTCTTTAAAAAGGCGTTGCAATGAAGATTATGCGTATTAATTGGATACCTGGGATGTTTTCAATTTATAACATATATATATACTGTTAAATTTTCTTCGACTTTACAGCTAAATTCAGCTAAAATATATGCCTTTACGTATGGAGGACGGCAAGTTATAGAGAGGCTGATCGTAACAACACCTTGTAGTCATTCATGTATGTAAACATCATTTGTGTAACGTTCAAAATTTAAGTTTTTTACCTTTTATTGTATTGGAGCAATTAGATATCAGCAATTAAGAAAATAAATGCACTTACTAACGGTGAGGTCTGCTTTGAAAATAAACTTAGTCGCAACCAAATGGTTGTTTATAAATTGAAAATAAACTTAGGCGCAACCAAATGGCTGTGTTTATAAATACTTTTTTTTTAATGGAAATATCTGTTAAAGGAGCAAGCGAGTCGAACGAAACATCAAATATGGCATAAATGCTAATTGAGCTAGAATTGGAAGAAGCTTTTGTAATAGGACAGAAGCGAATCCAGCAACACTTCCATAAACTGTGATCATAATGATATTAAAGTAGAGGAGAATATTGTCAGGGAAATTTAATACAGTTTAAACTATTCATTACTAACGTTCGCTTAAAAGGTACATGCAGTGGTATCAGCAAAAGCTTAGCGGCAAGTGATAAAGAAAAGCACGATTCCGACTTGCCGCAAATTTGTGATAATTGTAATAAGGTCTTTTACAATATAAAATCCTTAAAAGCTCACAAGTTTTCGGAAGGTATTAATTTGACTATTGGAGAGGATGAACAACAATTATTACATGATGAGGTAAACGAGTTTTGTGGCTTATGATGAAATTTCGTAAACTTATTTTAAATTAAATTTCTTTTTTGTTTTGTAGGCTCCAGACAACAGGGAAAAGAGGAATTTGTATTTTTTATTTACTTAGCATCAATTTCTACTCAGAAAGAGAAGGGATCTTCGAAAGGGGATAAATTAGAAAAAAGTAAGGACGGCAAGAAATCCAGTCAAAAAGATGAAAAAGATAAGAAAAAAGATGACAAATCTTGCGACAAAAAAGATGAAAGATGTGAAATAATGAAATTTATCAGCTACAATAGCGTAAGACATGTTTCCTTATTTTGCAAAATATTTTCAGTGAGCTAAAATCGTCTTCATCAACCGCCATAAAGATGATAAAGGTAACTTTTCAGGCAAAACTTTAAGTATTAGTAAGTAGTAGTAAACTCTGTCAAAGAAACTTACGTTAAATGAGAAAAAAGAAAGACTTCCAAGGCAAGAAAGTGTGAATTTATATTATGGGAAAAGTCATATTGTAATAACACTCAGCGCAAATTCTGCATATCTTTAATTCATCAAGGAGCACCGTCATAATTCTGCTATTCAGCAGCTGGCGAAAGTATGCTGTAACCTTATAAAACTCTGTGGGAAGACTTACTTAAGCTTGCACATAAGATAGTTTAATTTAGCAATGGAGAGTCAAGCGATGATGAAGATTATCATGGACCGTTGACCAGATTGTCGGCTAGAAATTTGTCAATAGTTAAGACGAGTCACTGGTCCTGCAATTGTTATATGTGTATATCTTTTTGAAAATATTGGCATCTGATTTTATTGAATTAATGAATAATTGAGTTAATGAATAATTGAATAAATGAGTGAACGTGTGAATAGGTGAATGAGGGAGTGATTGATTGAATGAAAGATTGAATATAAGAAGGAATAAATAAATATGAAATGTGTGGAAGTGAACGAATTAATTAATTAGTTAATTAACGAATGAAGTCAACCTAATACAAAAGTTGGTTAGAGATCTACAACTTTTTTTTTCTTGGTTAAAGTTTCCCACGGCGAGCATTATGCTTGGCAATATCTACAGATGAAGTTCGCAGATAAGCGTAGATGAAAAAAAGAAATTTTAAAGTATTCTCGTTGACAATAGATTACTTGGAGTAAATGTTTAAAAAAATGTCTCGAATATATGCCATAATTAATTTTATATGTCCAGCTGCGTTATTCATATTGGCGGCAGCCAGCAAGTGAACCGCCCTATTATCGCGCCCATATGGAAAACGCTGCAACCAATTGACACCACGCGAGTTTTATTACTAAAGTCATCGCGGCCAAACAATGTTGGCAACAAGAGCTGTGGCTTGGAAGAATGCTTTACAAGAATGCAACACAAACTTCTCAGCTGTATACATCCTTTGCTTACTCGGCCATGCAGGCGGAATAAGTTTTCCTACTGCCTTGTGAAATACCACTTTATAGTGCAAGTTTGTCTGCAATTATTGCCAACACATTTCGTATCCACGAATTCGACTAAATTGATCCGCAATACTGGCGGTGCGTATGCTCTTTTTTGGTTTGGAAAGCATCCCCATAATCTAAAGCCCAAACAATAAATTCATTCTGACATTTTGTCTCACATAATATTTCGGTACGTACAAGTTCTGCAGTAGCAGAACTATATATCCAGCTGCTGCGATTTTTTCCACTTTAACAGATGAGAGATATTTTTTATTCACCATTTTTTTAATTTATTTATTCATATTTTACTAGTTAAAAACAACTCTGTGCTTTGTTCATCACATATAGTGCTTATTTGATAAACGGTGTAAAGGAAAAAACTAGCTAACGGTTTCAATTATAACTTATTACTCTCTAAGCACTTTAACAATCTTGACTTTATTTTCTTTTTCGTTTCAAGTTTTAATTCTTTCAAATTTTTGTGATTGCTCTTTCTTTTTTTGGTCTTCCAAAAACTTTTTATCTCCTTTTTGACTGCATGGCCGATTTCGTCTTCCCGAAGTTAATTTCCGCATTTCCGGTTTTCTTTTCGCCTTGTTCTCCTCTAAACGTCGTTCATATCTCGATGGGTGATATTAACAATTTCGCCTACCACAGGTTTATATCTCCAACGTTACACAAAGATTTTGTTTAAAATAACAAGCGGGCGATCTTTAGTAATATTACTCTTGTTATTTGTAGTCGACGATGCTAAGAAATCAATTGCATCAGTATATTTGTATGGGCTAGATATTGGACTAAATTTGGAATATGTGCCTCTCGGACCATCTAGAAGTAATTTAGTCAACTGTGCGGCTTCAACTTGTTGGGCTTGTTGCAAAGGGAACAATCTCTATTTTATGCCAAGTGGATAACAATGGGTCTATTTTCAAACATATTGTCACATACGAGTGATATGATAAATTTTGTGAATTTTATATATTAATTCGTGTACATATATAATCCGGCTTTTTCAAACTTATTTCTTTGAATGTATTAAGGTCTTCTGGAAAACGGATAGCTATTTGTGTATAGTTTCTTGTGTCAAAAACGAAAACGGTTATAACTAATTGTGATAACATATTGCATTAATTTTTGTTCTCTTAATATTTTCCAAATATTAAAAAGTTTAGACTAAAATAAAATCGATTCTTTCCGGGTGCTTGACAGTTATAATATGAAATGGCGGCGTTTTCTTCGACTCTTCTTCCCTCTCTCCTAACAAAACAAATTTCATAAATTTCTTTTCTTCTCCTGCTTCTTCTCAGTAATGTTTTCTTTTTCATTTGATTTGAATTCTTTTTTGTTGGGGTAGGACGCGGGGTTTATTGCTTTTTGCACATATTAAACACGTAATTCTACAAACTAGTTTATAAAGCATTTTAATTATAAACACGTAGCCGTATAGGTATAGGTACGTTTATCTTTTATTGAGTTTATCTATCGCATTATTATAAAAAAAAAATTATTTGTTTTATTTTCGTAATTAACGCCTAAAAAACTGTCGAACTATATTATTATTATTATTATAATTTTAGACTAATGAAATAAATTTTTAGACTAAAAAAAAGACATTGAGCACTAACAACACAGGCAGAATAAATGGATATTAGATAATGAGCTTAGTAGTATTAATAAATTAATATATTGAATTTATATTCGGTTCTGAAGCTGATTTTAGAATGTCCAAAGGGTTAGTCGCTCCAAACAAAAAAAGTAAAAGAAACAAATTTTCATACTCTATAATATGAATTGAGAGCGGTTGAATTTTTCTTTTTTCAAAATAAAAGATTTTGTTACATAGGCACGTGGGCCTCATTTGAGAATGACCAGGGTGTATTATTCGTTTTTAGTTTATTCCTGCATTGTCAAAATTTCTTTGGATATGGTCTGGACGCATTTCTTACTTCTAACGTGAAGCAATGCGATAATGTATCATGCCATATCGAAATCAAAACTAAAGGTGTAGAATTGTATGATAAACATTTTATTATGAAATTAAGAGGGATGTTTTGTACTAATTGCGTGAAATCTACGAGGAGGGAAATTTGATAAATATGCCAAATTCAATGAAATTGTGGCACACCTTAATGGAAAGTACGTTAGAATTATGATACACCTGGGAGTTACATGATGTCTAAGGTGTTAGCCCCTCTAAATGAAAAAGTTGAAAGTTGTGAAGTATACATTCAACGCAAGCCAAATCAAGCACCATTTCTGAAACCGGGAACATTTGTGTTGTATAAATTTGAAAGCATGAAACATCTGAGAGTAAGCGGTTCTTATCCTCAATAATTTGTATCAAAATTCCAAACATGTGAGAATAAGTGTATATGTTTGTTTACACTTCTCAATAATTGAGCATGTGTTTGTTTAAACTAGGAACTGAAGTGGGGCACTGTAGGCCCAGGTTGGTTGCTATGACACTCGCGGCGTGCTCTTCTCTTTACAGAAACTCGCGGTACGGAAACGTGAAAAAGAAAGTACAGTAATAATCGGAAACGAATAAGAAGCATTAAAACGTTGAGGTCGGATCACCACTGTTTTCCCTCCTACGTCTCTTAAAATTCGCTTGAATATTAAAATCTCCCCGTAAATAAATAAATAGAAATTAAGAACAAACCCGAAGGTCCAAGTAAATTTTATTTTATAAATATTCTTGGAAAGAGTCCTGGATTGACTGAGTATACCCTGCCTAAGAAGACTTACAATATATATTAATAAAGCTATTTTAAACATATATTAAAGCTATTCATATTTAAATATAAATTATATAAATTAATATACAGCAACAGGAAAGGCCAGTTTGATTTTCCTAATGACAAATCAAGGCGGTTGCAAAAGTGTTTGTTGCTATAAGCTGCAATTAGACGGATGCTTTTGGTTATATTTTTGGTTATACGTTGCGTTTTGGGTGGTGTACTTGCTTCAACAGCATTCTTAAGAAATTCTATGTGTCTCACAGAGTTCATTGGGTGACCTAAAATTCT